GGCCATGGAGGAAACGTGTCGCGAAGTGCGAAGGACTCTGGACCAGCAAAACATTATCCAGGTCCAGAGCCTGCAGCTGCAGGAACGAATGATGAATTTGCTGGAGAAGATGATCACCAAAGCCAATGTTTAAATTCCTACCTGGAGGGGAAAAAGAAAAAGGAAGCAAAATTAACCTGTTTTGATAGAAATGGCTTATTTCATATCCCTAGGAGAGCTCCTCCTTTCCAGGTAAATCGAAACGGTTAAAGAGACAGCTTCCCCTCCTTGCAGGATAATTCTTTAGCAAATAAAATTCGGGCTTGATAAGAGGAGTTTATTTGGTGGGGGAGGAATGGCAGGGAATCCGATCAGAGGTGGTAGTCAGCCAGTTTGGACTGGTTCTGGAGAACCCAGGACCCACCCTCTCCTTTGGAGCCAAGGCTGATCGTCAGTGGTGTTCCTGAAAGAAACCCAAAAGGCAGGGCTGCAAGGGGGGGGACGACTTTCACGCTGGGGACCCATCGCTCCACGTAGACCTGGGCTGTCATCCAACGATTGACATCAGGGCTGTCCTTGCTCTCTGCTCTCTCCTGAGGCCCAAGGAAGGTGTTTTGCTTCGAAACAGGAGGGTCAACTAGGGCCACCCCCTGTTTTCTAGGCCTGCCTTTTTTGGCAGGCGAGGGGAGGGGTGCGGCGGGCCTTAGAGGTGGAGCTCTCACCTCACAATCAGGAGGCTGTAAGGTCGATCCTAGGGAGAGGCAGCTATTTCTCTCTCTGGGGACAATGAAAATATATCCACTGAACAAGACTCCGCATTGGAGATAGGAAAGGCATCCGGCCAGTAAAGCTCCGTTTAGTCGCCCAGACTCCACCCCACAAGGGGTTATGGGTTAAAAGATGATGATTTTGGCAGTCGAGAGCTTTCGACTTGTATTGTTGAATTCAAGTCGAGATGTTTTGTGGAACCGGGAGGGGCGGGGGGGGAAGGGGGCTCCCGGATGTTCTGCCGGGGGGGACGGACCTTGAACGGGATGAGATAGAGGAAGCAAAGGCCGTTGCCCAGAGTCTGCTTAATCCATTCAGCCTTCTTCTCTTTCTGTTTCTGATTGACAGTTCACGAAATTTAAATCCAACCCCGATCTCCGAGAATCTCCTTTCCGCGCTTTGACACATTTGGTTTCCTGCTCGAGAAACAGCGCCGATCTTAACGGCGCTGAAGTGGGGGGGGAAACCAAAGGCAAGTGATGAGAAGCCATCTCCGGAAGGCTTACGGGACCAAAAGATGGAGTCACGGCTGCAAAATTCAAACCTTCGGTCCAAGACCACAGAGAAGAAAGAGGAGCCAGGCAACATCAGGATGAGGCTGTGGGGACACACTGTGCTGGACAGGAGGCAGGGAAACAGAAGCTGGGAAGAAAGACACGGGGACGGTCCCTGCAGGAAGTCCCTAGAAATCCCACCCTCACCCCCCAAAAGGTCAGGGAAGGACTGGCTGACCAGGTTGGCTGGATTCCCCTCTGCCATTAATCCAGATCTTCCTCCTCCTCCTCCTCATCTTCCTTCTCTCTCATCGGAGACGCCAGAATATCTCGAGGATAATTCAAATGCACTCAATGATCACCTACATTGGGGAAAACGATAGGAAAATTCGGAAGGAACTCTTCTACTTGCGAATAATGCGGGGTGGGGAAAAAATACACAAGGAGGATTGTGTGCCTCCAATTTATTTATTATGTTCCGTTCTACGAAGCATCGTTCTTTTCCAGAGGATATGTGCTAAAACGCGGTTAGTTTTAAGAGACATTTAAGAGAGACAGAAAATGTTATTTATATTTTAAATACAACACGAAGGCCTAGCAATTCTATTCCAAAATTATACATTTTCTTTCTCCTTCCTTATGGGGTGTGTACGTATGGAATCATAATATTCTGGGATCACATCAGAAAGGAGTGACAACCCTGAGTGAAACGGATATTAAACCTTCAGCTTTTAGGCTGAATCCTAAAAATCCTTTTATACTCGGATTTGGGCGAAGAAAAGGGTCTGGATGGAATTTGGAAGGCTGGCACCCAATTGATGTTACTGCAGGAATATCAAAAGAAACTCGGTTGTTGAGGGTGGAATGTGGTGACACACCCTAACTCTGCCTGCTCGGGGCCGAGACAGTTTGAGTTGAAAGCCAAGCTGAAGAAGAAGAAGAGATGGTCTTTATAGACAGGGCATAAGTTAAGTAAACATAGCGAAGGGAAGCCAAGTAGAATCCCTTCCGGTAAGAGAATGGAGGGCATGGAGATGGATGGATAGATGGATGGATGGATGGATGGATGGATGGAGTATTCATCTCAGAACATACAGAAAAGGAAGCTGTATTTATGCCTCAGTTTGGGGAGAGAGAACCAGAAGTCCAGCTTTGGCTGGACTTTAAGGAGCGGGAGGTAACCCAGCCAGAAGGGACACCAAGCTGAAGAGACATGTGTGAGGCAGGATAAAGCTACAGTGTTTCCCTGAAAATAAGACTCTGTCTTATATATATTTTTTTTGCCACCAAAAAAGGCACCAGGTTTTGTTTTGGGGGAGGACGTCATCCACTGACTAACCTCACTTGCGTGTGTCGCCCCCGGCCTCCTTTTCGCTGTCAGAGGCCTTCAGGAACTTCTTCTGCAGCCAGCAAGACTTTCCTGAAGGCCTCTGCAGCTGATAATTGAGATCAGGATCGATCCAGAGCTTTGTTATCAGCTACAGAGGCCTTCAGGAAAGCCTTGCCAGCCTTGCTGGCTGCCGAAGAAATGGGTTGGCCAGGCAGGTGTCTGGGTGTGCGAGGCTTGGCTACAACTGTCCGAAGGATGGGAGGGCAACTCCACCCTCCCATCCCCATCCTAGCTTAATTTTTACCTGTGCACTCTGGAGTGGGCGGGATCTTAATTAGGGTTTATTTGGGGGGGTAGGACTTATATTGGGTGCAAGTGTAGAAATCAAGCTAGGACTTACTTTCAGGGTAGGATGTATTTTTGGGGAAACAGGGTAATTTCTGGATACCAGGAGGTGGATGTTCCCACTGAGCTAAAGAGTTTGAAAAGGCCTCTTGTGTATTTTTTAGTCCTCATCCTGTCAACTAAAAATGTGTTCCCTCATAATGAATGTCGGGGATGTAGGATATATCCCCTAATATATACACAGAATGTACGTACAATAGAACCTCTGGTGACCACCATAATTCATTCCATAACTTTGGTTGCAACCCTATTTGGTCGTGATCTCAACCTAATTTTGGAAATTTGGTGCTTACAAAAATAAAATGGCGCGGAAGGGGAAATCAGCTGTGGAAAAAAAAATTGTGAATTTCTTAGTCGGAACCCGATTTGGTGGTGGTCCTAAGTGTTCCAGACCAGAGACTCTACTGCATGAGGGGATTTTAACACAACGCCACTTTTTCCAAAGGATTTAATGTTCACCCAGTAGAATTGTAAAATGCTGGTCGCATGTAGAAAGCAACTGCGAGAAATCAGCATGATCAAAACAGGCTGGCAGTTCTCGACTTACGACATTTAGTGAGTCTTGCCCTGTTCTACGACTTTTCTTGCCATTGTGGTTAAATGAATCACCGCAGGTTCTTAAGCGGATCTGGCTTCCCCATGGGGGTGCCCCCGAGACAAATCGTGAGAAAGGATTGTTCAGTTTCTGTAATCCAGGCCCGTGGTATGTGGTAGGCGCCAGAGCGGGTTAAAACTTTTTTCAAACAACGTTAAAAAAAGAATAGGGTTGCATGTGGGACATCGGAGCCCAAAAGAGAGAAGAAAGAAACATGCAATCGTTAGAAAAAAGCTCTCCAGCCTGTTGATTGTTCATCAGTAGGGATTTTGCAATAAACAATCATATTCCCAAGAAACGGCACAGCTCAGAGTAATCCAGAACACCATTTGTTGCCGGAGAAATTTCCCACCTGAAAGGGAGGGTTTTTTGAATCTAACTCTCCTTCTTTGAGACAAATATGAGGTTTTTCTTTCTTTTAAAAAAAAATGTTTGTAAACTGTCTTTTTCAAATATGATTTTGTACGTTTATGTCTTTTCAAATTTGAAATGGGTTCAATTGTAATACGGCTCGGTAAAGAGTATTTGTTATATCCCTTTTAATTAAAAAAAAACAAGCAACCCTATCTTTTTCATTGATCTATATACATTAATGCTCCTAAATTGATAAGTTTGTTCCTGGAGTTTTCTCTGTTGGGTTAAGAGTGTCTCCTAGCCTGAGTCCCTAAGTTGACTAACCAAGGAGAGAAGCAACTTAGAACTAAGGAGAAATTTCCTGACAGTTAGAACAATTAATCAATGAAACAACTGGCCTCCAGAAGTTGTAAATGCTCCAACACGGGAGGTTTGTAAGAAGAGATTGGATAACCATTTGTCTGAAGTTGCGTAGGGTTTCCTGCCTAGGCAGGGGGTTGGACTAGAAGGCCTCCAAGGTCTCTTCCAACTCTATTATTCTATGTTTTATCAATTGGGTGTGTCTAGCTGGATGAAAAGAAGGACCGGGGGTGGGAAGGATAGCAGTGTTCCAATAGCTCAGGTGCTGCCCCAAAGAAGAAACGGGCCAAGCTATTGTCAAGCTAGAAAGAGTACAGAGAAGAGCAGCCAGGATAATGAGGGGACTGGAGGTGACAAAAACATACGATGGACGGTTGCAGGAACTGAGCCTGGCTAGTCTAGTGAAGAGAAGGACCAGGGGAGATGTGATAGCAGTGTTCCCAATATTTGAGGGGCTGCCACAGAGAGGAGGAGGGGGTCAAGCTATTCTCCATGGCACCTGAAGGCCAGACAAGGCATAACGGATGGAAACTGAACAAGGAGAGATTCAACCTGGAAATAAGGAGAAACTTTCTGACAGGGAGAACAATCAACCCATGGAACAGAAGTTGCCCTTGGAAGTTGTGGGAGCTTCATCACTGGAGGCTTCCAAGGAGAGCATGAGTCTTGAGTTCCTTGTAGGACATCTTGGATTTTGGAGTCCACTTTTTTTCTCCTCATTCTGCCAGCACCAGAAAAAGAAAATGTTTGGTAGAAAGAGCGTTTATTCTCGAGAGTGCGCGGTGCACCATCGGTGCACCCCGCGAAGGTGGATGCTCCCTCTACGAAGGCATCCTGATTATCCTTTGGGCGGGCGCTGGATCACCTGCTCGATCCAATTGACGTAGTTTGTCACCTTGGTGTAGACTCCCGGCTTCCTGGCCTTGCCACAACCGTCACCCCAGCTGACGATGCCGTACAGGTAAAAGGCACCATCCCTTTCGCAGGCCAAGGGCCCCCCCGAATCACCCTGGGAGACAGAGGAGAAGGTGAAGGTAAATGGAAGAGCTACACGACGTCACAAATCTCAGCCAGCCAGGGTTTCCTTTTGGGGTAACTTCGAATGGTAGTTGCGTTTTGGTTAGGGGGAAACCGATGGGTAGACCCCCCCACCTCATAGGGGTAGGCTGCTGGGGGTTCATTGGGGTTTGGGGGAGCCCCTGCGAAGATTCTGTATAGTTTGGGGAACCCCCAAATCCCATTCCTGGAGCCTGGGGAAGTCATTTTTGCCCCCTGGGAGGCTCGAGAAAAGCCTCAGGAGTCCGGGGAGGGCGGAAACAATCCCCTGCCTCCATGGTGCAGGAGGCCAACTAGGCCACGCCCACCATGGCCACTCCCACCCAGCCACCGGTCAGAGAACTCCTTGCTAAAAAAAATTTGAAGCCCACCGCTGTCCTCTCAGGGCACCTGAAGATCTCCGTGAAGATGGAAATGGTCCCCATGAATTGGGAAAAGGAAACCCGTAATTTCGGTGAGGGGTAAAAAAAAAGGGGGGGGGCTGCTGAATGAATTGTTTGGACACTCAAGGACGAAAATGGTGAGGGGAAAAACTAGAAAAGGTAAAGGGGAAAAGGAAGTTGGGCTCACAAGGGAAGATTAAAGCAATTAGAAAATGGCTTTTGGGGGGGGGCTATGTCTCCGGTAAAAGCCAGGGGCGAGGTGGGGTTCGTTGATAGGAGAAGAGAGAAGGGGGTGGGGGACAGGGGAAAGTGGGGAGGGCAGAGCCTCCGAACTCTCGTGACCCCCCCCCCACTCTTCTTCCCCGAGAAAGCCACATTCCACCTGAGCAAGAGCCCACAGCTGGATGCAGCTGGAAAATTTAAAAATAAATAAATCAAAAGTAACCAAACTCCCCAGGTTGGCTC